TTTTTAAAAGTGCACTTACCGGTTTTATGCGTGGGACTATTGATATAGTAAGATAGTTTTCCAAAAATTTTAAATTAAGTTTTATTTAGTTTTAAGTACATTTTTAAGTTATGAGTGCCGCCTCATTACTCTCACTTAAACTCTTATCCAAGTAGACCTTCTCAAAGACCGTACCTTTTTTATTCGAAGGTTATTGCTCTAATTTTTTGGACAAATTAAATTTTTTAAATGAAAAATTTATTTAAATTGAGCAGAAATCACAAATATTAGTGTTCGATTACTAGGTACTTTCTAATAATATTCTATGATTGGGCTATAACAAACTTAACAAATGATAATGTATAAATAGCGATTACTAAGTTTTAAGTTTTAAAAATCTGTTTTTTTTTTAAGCTTGTATTTTGAATACGTAGTTTGTATGTATTCTAAATTTATGGCGAACTCAAAGAATGAAAAAGTTAACATCAATTATAAGAATAAATTACATGCCCTAATAAAACTAAATGGACTAACTATGTTTAATTTTTTAACGTATGTTGTTATTGTAAAATTTGTGATATTATGAGTTATATTTAATAAGTTTGTTTAATTGATTGGATTTAAAGAAAAGTAATTCGTGACTCGAACAGTTCTATTGTCCATAGGCCGAGTTATTCATTTTTATTATTTCAATTTTAATTATTATAACAAGGCTATTGTTTACTTTGTTTCAACTATTTTCATAAATTGATGCGGAAACCGAGTACATACTAATAGTTTTCGTATAAACGCTCGTGAAAACCTAAACCGTTCCAGTGGTTCAATTCCCACTTAAAGTATTCATAGCTCTGTGGACACTACATACTTAACAGTCATTTCAGTTAAATGTATCGTTTTTTATGATAATCTTATCGAATACATTTTATCAAGTTAAAACAAACAACGCTCAATGAATTTTTTAAATCCTCTTATAGATTATACTACTAAACTAAATTTATAAAAAAAAATTTTATTTAGTGCATAAAATATTTTTTGTCCTTCCTATGTTGAAAAAATAATATTGAATTTTTTCTGTAGACATTTTGGTAAATAAACATACATTAAATATTTCAATAAACTCATATTATAAACGTATTATAATTTGTAGAATTTATTCATTTTTATCTAACATTCTCAGATGAATATAAATTGTTACAATTTATATTAATCGGGACAAAAGCTATTAAAAATTATATACTAAATAATTATTCACGATATGTTTCAAAAATAACACACTTGATTAAAAAATTATAACAAATTTTATTACCAATATTTAATTTAATTGATATAATGTATCTAAATGCGATAAGGACTATTTTTTGTACCGGAAAATGATTAGTAATTTTTTTAATACGCATTATTTTTAGTGACATTTTTTAGCATCGATACAAAACTGAGAAGGTATTGTGATTTGTAGTTTTTTTTTTGTTTATGACTTTCCATAAAAATTCTTTCACTATGCCTACTTTAAATATCAATACGTCAAAATATCAGGATTTTAATCTAGTTGAATCTATCGTTGCAAAAATTGGATAAAATTCTTCAATTTTAAAAATTTAGAAATATATCTCGAAATTATACTATCGTAAAAAATGATATTTTCAAAATTTTTGTTTTGCATTTAACACTTCTATAAATTTTTTTAAAAACGCTGATCCTCGTTAAATTTTAATGAGGTATACAAGAGGCAATAATCTTTCTTTTGATATGCTTTACCTGAAAATTCAATGAAAAAACTAATTACAGGAAGAGTTTGAAAAAGACCACCTACGCATGTTAACATTTCGAATCAATTTTTGAATAATATTCCAAATTGACTGCGTTTATTAAATCAATCAAATTAAAAACTTGGACATGTACTGCATTAAAAAAAAAAAAAAGAAATTGGCCGCCAATGTAAAAAAAAAACCATTTTCAACAGAACATATTATTTAACAAGCATTAATATTTGAGAGAATTTTTAGAAAACAGAAATTGTAAAGTTAAAAATATACAAATTATTGTCAAAAGTAACATTGATTTGGATTGAAGAGGTTTTTTATGATTGAAATGTTAATAACTGTCAGATATCATCTATTATATCATTATGTTGCACAAATTGATAGTGGGGATTCACCGAGAAATTTCTAAGACCCTGTAAGCCAATGAGTGCTTAGAGTATATCAATAAATTAAATTACACACCACTTATTCAATAATTATTTTTATATTCCATTCTTTATATTGTTTACTGTATAGTATAAAGAATAAAAACAAAAAGTGACTGAAGTATAGAGTCAATTTTATGTTTTATAGTAAATTGTGGTAGGCTTATTTATATATTTATTATTAAGATCAATTATTACACTTAAAATAAAGTATAGGCGTCCATACAGATTTATGTGTGTTTATTCTACTCTTGACAATTTTATTAAATTGAGTGGTTTACAATTGACATCAATTTATTTAGGATTTAAGGGAGAACTATGAAATAATTATTTCACTGTACGACACTTAAAATTTGTAGAACTGTTAAACTTACTGAAAAAATCGTTTAATATAATTTACAGTGGCAATTCGTGGTTTGGACGATCCCACTCCTATTAAAATTAATTAAAAGAAGAAAACTACTTGTATATTCTTAACTGTACATTTTTATTAAAAATGCAAATTTTACAATAGTAAATAGTCATAATACATTTGTCGTGTGCGAACATTAGAATCGTTTCCCTCAGTACGTGCGGCCGATACACATCCAAACACTACTCGTGTGTTTGGACGACCGGCCGCGTCGTCCGAACAATATTCTGAGATGTAAATCATAAGCGAGGCGTCCAATCGTGAGCGTCCGGGTTCAGTTGCAATCTTGTAAACGGGTTTTGGACGACCGGCAGTGTCGTCCATACGGTAAAATAACACTATGTTGGGTAATTTATTTTTAGAATTAACTGCTCTTCGTTATCGGTTGCCATAAAATTATAATCGCTATTATTATTATTTTCATTTATATTTTCTACCGTGACCTTTAAAATAATAACATGTGTATTGTGTTTTATTCTATTATATTTGACAATTTTTTTGTACATATGACTAGCGGTATTATATTTAAAGTCGCAGCCTCACCACCAGCACCCCCCACGAGCCAACATTGATAATTTTATATTCGGAAATTAATCGATTCAGCCTCGCGTTTAGGAATAAATAGTTTTTAAATATAATAATTCAATATCAGTTATCCATTTTTCAATTAATAAATGCTGTGTCGATATTGTAGAATATTTTTCACTTTATTTTAAATGAGTATAGGACATAATTTGCTCTTCGTCAACTTTTTCGAACCGCTTATAAAAGGTTAACGTCTTTAGGATCAGTATTAAAAAAAATCATAACGATTTATCCAGTAGAATTATAACCTATTATTTCAGTTTTCACTGAACAAATGGTATTTTTTATTGCATGTCGATGTGCTCGCTAAACAAGTTTGCAACACGTTATATACGTGCGTAGTTCTTAAATAATTACATCGTGGATTGGCTATAATCAAGTTAATTATATCATACATATTTGAGGGTGTTGCTCATCATCGTATCATCATAGTAATAATCTGTGGTACACATTTCCGTAGATGAAACATTTTGATTTCCACCCATGGTCTGTTGAGCAAATCCCCAGGTTACCATAAATGGCATTTGTGACCGAATTCAGAGTCGACTTCGTGCATTTGTATAGCACTCGTAATGTCCAATGATAATGATCCGGTGTGTCGACAGGAATTACGGTGGACTAGACCGCCGTGTTGTGTTATCGTAACACGCGTGACTCATCCAACTGTATAATAGTACTAGTATTTTGGTTTTCCAGCCACGGGAAGCGGTCGTTGTACTTACTTGTATAGTTTTTCTTGCGTGGAGGGGAAATTTAATGTATTAATGACTGATAACATAATTGCGGTAAAACGCGAGGCCTATTGCCGTAATAGCCGGTAGCCCGTGACAGTACTTGACCCGCTGAAGAATCGCCAACAAAACAAAGAAAATCTTTCACGGCTGGCAAACCACCAAGTTTTGTTTTACACCTCACGAAAGAACTATTCCCCGGCGTTCAAGTCTCTCACTAACACATTTCCTACTTGGGCTATTCAACATTTCCGATGTATTTATCTTGGCACACAACAAGTACATTATCTCGATTCTCATTAACAGCTTAGATATGCTTTTCAAGAACAATTCTTTAATTGAGCCGTGTTTTTATTTTGTATATATTTACTTTTGATAAAAGTGATCTATTATCTTTTTCTAAGAGCTTAATTAACGACTGTTACACATTAATTTCGTCGTTTAGAATTTGGAACATTATTGGTTAGTTATGATTTTTTTTTTATTCTTTAAATATATAAAGTCTTAGAATTGATTAATTAAATATTTTTTCACACGCCGACGGAAGTCCTTAACAGACTATACTATTTTACCGTAATTGCTTATTGTTTACTGGTCTCTCTATTTCCTATAATCGATTTAAAGGTGACACGCAATAGTGTTTATTTTATTGTTATGATTAAAGAATAGCGTTTTCATTTAAACAATGCAATTGTGTAGCACGCTCTCTGGTGTAAATACTTAACTTCTTTTGATAATAAAAAGAAAAGTTAAGGTTGTTTTATGTAAATCATTAATTTAAAATTGAATTCTTATTCTATCTGCATTGATCTTGAAAAATGCCCAGTTATTTTATGTATTAAGTTGACAAAATCATTTACAAAATAATTGCAAGTTATTTACGAAATGCATTATTATTACTTGGGAAATTATTATCTTAAATTTAGATGTAATAATTTCACTACTGTGTTTACGTTTGGTAATACCCAGATTTCAGATAAACATTTATAAAAATTTTGTGTATTGATCGTGGGGGAGCGTGAGTTATAAAAATGAGTCACGAGAGAGCGCCAAAATCGGAGGCTCAAGACTGTACTGCACGTGTTGTGGCTCTAGTTCAGAAGGATATCTTGCTTCCGCCGATGCAGCTTATACCGGTGGGGTGCCAATGTAGTTCTGCAGCCGAAATTTTTATTTTCTTAAATTATACGCGAAGATTTTTTAGTAAAAAAATAGTTCCCGTTGACTTAAATAGAAATTTGTTCAGAAAGCGAATTAATAACTATAAAGTGTGCGATACAATGGCCGAGGTGTTAAGTGTAACGCAAGAGAATTACTGTAGAAGAAAACTGAAATCTACCAAAAAAAAAGCGATCAAATTTGGCCGTAATTTGGTTGGAAAAAAAGCCGTGTTCACTAAAGCAGTAACAGATAAATGGCATAAAAGAAGAGGACGCAAAATAAAACCGTAAGTACATTAAATTGAATAAATTGTATCTTATAAGTGTAACTAAAAAAATTTATTTTGAATGACAAGAGCTAATTAGGAGCCAGGACGATGTAAATGAAAATGTAGAACTTAAAAGAATTATCTTTATACTAAATTCATTGATATTTTTCATTAAACAACTTATTTGGCTCACTGCATTTAAAAAAGTAACCAACAGTTCTGAAATAAATATTGGTTTGTAAATTTCACCGCGAATGTAAGACTTAAATAAATAACTTCCAAGCTCAGTAGAGTGTACTAGCTAGTGTTAAATTTATGCAATTGGAACCATTAAATTTTTGCTATCTATGATTAGAGAAATAATTTTAACTTACACCTTAGCACAATTAACTCATGATTAAAAACTCTCTGTAATGAATATTAACTTACTATTTGATTTAAAATGAATGTTTATTTAATAGGTTTTGTTTTATTTATCTTCTAAAATAATCTGTTAACCATAAATACAAAGTAATAACTTTTTTTGTTATATCTAATTATATGTATTATAGAACAAGGAAAAAACGATTTTTTGCAAAAATTAAAAGAAACAAATATATTGCAACGTATAAAAATAATACTTAACGTATAAATAATTATAGTTTCTAAATTTTTTAGTGTAGCTTTTATTTCTGTGTTAAAATATTAAGTTTTATTTTTTGTTTAAATACTTTAATAGTTTAGTTAAAAAAAAAAGTTTACTTTAATTTTGACATTCCAGTCTCAGTCTTTTTAAAAAAATCAATAATCAAAATCATAAATAATGATTTTATTATAACAGACTTTTTAAAAAATTACTTTATATTAACTAATCACTAAGCATTGATTAACTTAACATATTACGAATTTCTAAGATACTTAGTACAGTAGTGTCGTCTGTACCAAGACAACACTATAAATATGTATACCTTTAAAAGTCTTCGGGTGTTACTAAGAGCAACGAAATCGAATACATAATGTCTTTAGTGTAATAAAATCAATAACATAATTAAAAGTTATAATGAAATTATGCAAAACTCTGTTTTTTGATTTATTAACACCTGCAATAAACGGGACGTTGATTATAAGAATGATTTCTTTTGTACAGCTGCGGTTTTTATTTAATCACACAATCACTATTAGGATTTTAATTGTCTGTTTTACGTTATCTATGATAACGGTATCTTATTATTGAGTATTTTTTTACGTATGAAAAAAACTCTTTCTGATTTTTGTTTAACTTTATAAATAATTTTACCAATCTGTAATTAGTTATTTTGAAAAAGATTTCTATTTTATAGAAACAGATCTACGAACAGAAACTATCAAAATTAAAATAGTATTTAAAATTCTAAGGAAATTTCTTTTTTTTGTAAAAAAAAAATTTTGTTGTAAATTTTGTTATCATATTATTTATAAAATAATTTGTATACATACATTTTTAAAAGATTATAACCGAAATATTTTGTTAAACAATAAGTTATTTTTATTATTTAAAATAATTTGTTTTTATACGGGTAATTGTTAGAGTGAAAATAATTAAATATTATATTCGAATGTGAACCCTTACATAGATATATGTAATATACGTTGTTAGTGCGATACGGTAAAGCAATCATGCATAATGCACATACACACCTGGGGTTGAGGTTTTTTAATTTTTGAAAAGGTGTGTTACACAAAGAGTAGGTTTGTTTCATTGTAATATTTTAAGTAAAAGTAATAAGTCAAACTTACATGATTGACCACAGATAGCATGCATTGTTATTGTTTACGGTAATTGCTCTGGATTGTGTATACAAATAAAAAATTAAGTTTGAGTTTACGTAATTTCCACGAACATAATTTATTTGTTCGTACCTTAAAAAACTTTTATCGTTAAATTGTTATAACAGGACATTGTTTACTGGAAACAATCGTGCACTATCAAAAAGCATAATTACTCAGTCGATTTTGGTTTCCGTTTAAAATATGCGTGTGAACTGTTACATCAACAATTATAAATTTATTTACAGTTTTATTATATTAAAATAATAATTGCGATAATATAAGATCACGAGCCTAATTTATTTATTTATTAACGTATTTCATTTTAGAACACGTTAATTTTTAAATATAAACCCACGAAAAAAATGAACAATTAATATAGTGACAATTCTAATAAAAATAGTTGGATATTTAAATAAATTTTTAAAGGTGTCGTTGCATTCTGTGATATATGTTAATTTAGGTAGGAATCGTCTGAATAGCACATATTAAATAAAATGTGTTTCTCTTAATTTTTTTATAAAAACATAATATCGATGTTCCTGACGAATATTTATTAAAATTTTATCATGTTAATATTTTTAAGTAATAAATGGTTTACTAAGTGGTTACCAAAATACACGAGCATAACATGAATGTTAAAAGATATCTCTTGCTGTTATCTATCATATACTTTTTTAAATTTTAATTATTTAATATATTCTTTGATATGATTATAGATATTATTTGTTCATATTTTTTTTAGATGAGTTGGAATATTTAAATAAATGATTGGGTTAACCCAACTTTCAGTTATTCCAACTGTCTTCATTGTAGTTGTTACTATATTAACCGTTTATATGGTTATTTTAACCGTATTTTTTTTTTGTATACTACTGAGAAAAACTGTCTTTAATCGGAAAAAATTGTATAGAAAATACAATTCGAGTTTTTATTATCACCTACTTTTTCTTGACGAATTTTGTTCATCAATATCCAATGCGTTGGATAGTTTTGTCTACACAACTTAGAAAACCTGTGATTCCACCCTTCAGTATTGTTTTTGGTTCTTTTAAAGTTATATAAGTAGACATTCTCAGGTTTGGTAAATAAAGAGGAACTTTAATTAAAAAATTAGAACTTTTTTATGGCATATTTTAAATATATTTAAATGATACTCATTTTCTATTAGTCATCAGATTTAATGTATATGTCAATGCAATAATAAAATTTGTCTAAGATTGTAAAATAAGGCCATAAAATAATATGTAATAATTAACACAATTATCGATTAATAAGAAAATATCAATAGTATGATGACACTTATTGCACATATTAACGATTTTAATTTCAAATAGGATTAGGTTGGATTTATTTATTTATATATAAATATTTTTATTTAGGTAGGGGATTCATATTCTTTAAATACATTCGAGGAATAACAAAAAATAACTTTGAAAATTAAGTGAGAAACTTAAGAAAGTTCATTGTAATATTTAGGTTGTTTCAATATTTATTTAATAAAAATGTTGTTTATTTATATTATGAATTTGTTTAATTGATAAGTGTCAATGACCTTATTCAAATGTTTGAAATTATTAACATAACAATGATATCATCACAATCGAATGATATTTATGTTCCATTTCCACATATTTTTGTATTACTAGTCTTTTTTTTATAATCCACGAAGAAAATACATCAATAATTTACATATAATTCAATGTAACAGGTATAATTCTTCATTTTTAGTATGGATTTAGGTACTATCAGTGAGTTCATGTTCTCCACTAATATTTTTATGATTTCTAATATTTACAAAATTTAAAGAGCATTTTATAATAAATTCTTAGTCCTCATAGTATTTATCCTTGATCTTTGGCTGTTAAACTATTTTTTTAAATAACAAAAAAATTATTTTTATTTTTCATCATTTTATCATTTATTCTACAGAGTAATGAACTTTGATATTAATTGAATTATTTCATAATTTTAAATGTGTGGGAATTACTTAAAGATAATAATTGAACAAAAATATTTGTATATTGGCAACCATATGGTATGATAATAGAAATGAAAAAGTTATTTAATTATAAATTTCATTATGTATTTTATAATTCCTGTTTAATATAATGCGTATAAAAAAATTCTCATTTTATTAATATCAATTATTATCCAGTACTATTTAAATATATATAAAATAAACCAATTATAACAAACGTATTCAAATCAAAGCTAACCTCACTAAAAACATTTTTATATGATCTTAATATAAATAGTTTGGTTATTTTTTACATACTTATAGATAAACTATAATTTAAAACAAAACATCTTTATAGTATATGTTTAGAAAATGGCTTTCCAAAAATTTTTATTAAAAGCCTTTTTTTAGGCTATTTTCCTAAATTTGACAATTTTAAGTATTTCATTTAAGCACAAGATATTTTTTGATTATTAATGATTAACATTTAAGGAAAATGTTATTCTTCTTATAATAATTAGTTTTTAATTTTTTTGGGGTTATTGATTTACTAAATTCTTAAACTTACTTGCTAGAACTTGTTAGTTTAAGTACTTTAGAGTAGAAAATTAATATTTGATAAAAAATACTAATTTTTCTTCCAGTTTTTAGCGTTTATTAGAATTATTGTGCCTAATCATTTTAAATATTAATCATGTATTGAAAAAGATTTTAGTTCTACTAAAAATAACATAGCTTTGTAGAATTTTAATTCAGTAAAAATCAATTAATCGTCATAGAAATGCTTAAACACATAATAACTATTAAATTAAGACTAATAATAAGTCTATTTATTGCATTGCTGTATTATGATATTCGCCTGTAACATGCAACACATTCGACAACTATACATATTAAATCACATATTAAGGTATATAGTAAAATAATAATATTTTTAATAATAATAAATTATATAATGAATTTTATTACTTTTTAAATTAAAAAATAATTTTAACGAATTTTTAATAATAATAATTTATAATTTATTGATAAAATGATTTTCAAAACTTGTGTAAATGATGTAAAAAACATTTACGCTTCACTTAGTAATAGATTTGCATAATAAGTTTAATTGTACATGATGAATATTTTGTACATTTCTTAAATATTTAATAGATTTAAATCAATTTATAGAAATAACTCGCTACAATTGTATTGAGTTATCGTGAGATGAGTATATATTGTTAAATGACATACTTAACTGACACACTTACATTAACATATGTATAAATAT